ATAAAAAGCATGGATTTGAGAGATAGGAGGCCAGAGGTCTACTATGATGGTGAATGAGTTATTTAACCTTTTGAGTCTCAGTTTCCTTTATCTGCAAAATGGGCAGAATAAACTCATCCTATTTACTTCACAGGGCTATGGTGAGCATAACATGAAATAATATACTTAAAAGGAACAAAGCAGTAGTTCCCACTTACATGGTGCTTTCAGACTTACCAAGAACTTCCCCCACAACAGCCCTATGAGGTAGGTGGGTAATATTATCAGCCCTGTTTTGCCCACCGTCACACAACTGCTAAGTATCAGAGTGAGATTCAAATCAAGGTCTCTCCTGATTCCAAGTCTAGTGTCTTTTCTAGTCTATGATGCTGGAAAATTATAAAGCCACAAGATCATAAAATATAGAATAGAAAAAGACTTTAGACATCACTTAGTGCAATGGTCTCCAACCTGTGGGCCACAGACTCCTCAGGACAAAAGTAACAGAACTGCAAGAGTCCAGTGAATCCATACATCCTTAAATGTATTTCCTATAGCTAGCATAAGTAATGTGTGTCATTCATATTGTATCACTGTTTTTCAAATGTATGTGGATTCTATTGTGATTTAACCAAATATAGTTTTATTAAAAAGCATTTCTGAGTTCATAGTAACTTCTTGTCAACATGCATTTTCTCGATCAACAGATGATTATAGTATGGCTACTATCATAGAGGGAGGCATCATTTTTCAGAGGGCACTTAATGCTGGAAAAAGTTGGCAGCCATTGGGAGCAAATATAGGTAGCATTATTATGGCAAATCTGTAACAATGTAAACATTACACACAGTTTCCAAAGGCTATCCAATGTTAACCTTGTTGAAATTTAAATAGACATAAATTCATCATATGTTACTTCCCTGCTGGAGAAACTTAAGCAGCTCCCCACTTTAGAATCACAGATTTAGAGCTGGTGAGGACCCTAGAAATAATCTTGTCCAACTCCCTCATTTTACAGAAAATGAGGCTCCTAGAGATTAAATTATTTACTCAAGGTCATACAGGTAAGGAGCCGAAAAGGTGGGACTCACACTCAGGTCTTACTTAGAATTGTTACCACTACTTTATATAATTCATATTTATCTACAGTAGAAATCAGTGGGGTATCCCTCAACTCAGGGGGTGGGTGCTCCAGGGGATGGCTACTCAAGGTTTGTGGTACTCCAAGGGTCAGTACCCAGAATACTATAGCCCATGAGCCCCCACTAATGTGTTTATCTTTAACCATCAACCAGAGAACACAGTTAACTTCAGGCAAAGATATTTAATGAAATAGAAACAAATCGTAGCCCCAATAGTGTTCACTCTTTTATAAATATGCACAGTATCAAAAGTTGGGGAGCTAGGTGGCGCAGTGGATAGAGCACTAGACTTGGAATCTCTATGAGTTCAAATCTGGCCTCAGACACTTACTAGCTGTGTGACCCTGGGCAAGTCACTTAACCCTGTTTGCCTCAGTTTCCTCATCTGTCAAATGAGCTAGAAAAGAAAATGGCAAACCACTCTGTTATCTTTTCCAAGAAAACCCCAAAATGGAGTCACAAAGAGTCAGACAGGACTAAAAAACAACACATAAACAGAACATAGATGGTAAGGCACACAAACAAGGATCATGTGTGGCCAGGGTCTATATTTGCAGAGGTACACACACACAGACACACACACAGACACACACACACATACGTATACACACAC